ACGGTACACAGCGAGGGCTTGCAGGCTTTGAATAATGCTCACTTGATCGTCCAACGAAGCAACATCAAGCTCTGACAGGTAACAGGATGGACCGTTTACTCTGCTGCTTGTCTTGAGACTGGAGATGATAATACTGACTGCTTGCTTGGGGTCTTTTTTCCCCTTCTTTTTCCCCTTCTTTTTTCCTTCTTTTTTCTTCTTTATTGTGAGGAGTAGTAAGCATGTTAGTATGGTATGTGGTAGTGCAGTCTTGTAGCAAGTTGTCTATACAAGACTGCTGTGCGTTATCGTTCGAGATGGACTTTTTTGCACGAGAGCGTGTGTGATCAGCATGGAGGACCATTGTGGGAGGCGGCGGCGGCAGCCAGACGATCAAATACACCCTCGTTTTGACTATTATGGTTGCGTATATCCTTGTTTGCAAGCACTAGAGGCTACTTGTGCGGCAGCATCGCACGGCTGGTGATGCTGCTATTGGTGTTCTGGGGCGCTCCCTTCTCGTCTGGCTGTCCGTTCAGCAGTCCGCAGGTTCGTGGCTCTCTACTGTTCCCATAACGGTCCATCGAGATGGATGCTTGCACGGCTTCGAGTGGTTGGGCTTGTGACACGACTTCTGGAGACGACAAGACGGAGATACCGGGCTGGCCGGGAACAAGGGTGGTGACCATATTAGGGGACCGCTAACACATGTTGGCTCCTCTCGAAGGGTCCCTCGCCCCTGTCGGTACAGTATGAGCTGAGCTCTCCCAGCGGATCACCGCATCGGTTTGCTCGGCCGGAAGACTCGATCGGGCAGCCCAGCGAGAAGATCTTGTGCTTTGTGCTTGTGCTTGTGCTTGTGCTTGCGGTTGCTGCTGCTGCTGCTGCTGCACGACGCGGTCGATCAGCCACTTCGGCAGGGCGCTGGCCACGCGAGAGTGCCAAGAAATGATCTTGAATTAGCTTCTTTGTTCTTTGATGGAGTCGAGGATGGCTCCAGCTGGAATTGCGGAAGGCCACGTCGGAAGTCGGTCAGGGCTGTTTGACAGCCGCTCGTGCATTTGAAAAGAATTAGCGGGGAGAAAGCTTGAGGATCTTTTTTGTCCGGGGCAGGGGGGGGGGGAGGGGCCTGTCCGTTTCTGAATCGGTACGTACCTGAAAGTATTCGAAGCTGGAGGCATGTTGTGGGCAACCAGCACATCCAATGCAGTACCAGAGCACCTAGATACTTGGCACATGAGACTGTGCCAGCATTGCGAAACCGAACAGCCAAGTGTTATATACATATATATATATATATATATATATATATATATACACACATATACACATGTACACGTTTGGGAAAAAGGCGTTTGCATTGCCGGGCGTTGGACGACACGTCTGAAGAGGGAAGTTGTAACAGCCATGTTGCTTATGCAGAGCCCGCTTGGCTTGTGCTTGGCAGGGGCAGCTCGTCAGCAGGTACAAGGATACCTGCGCACATGCTGAGTCGGCGGCTTACGTATACACCGACGCCCATCTGCCATCCAATCGAGCTGTCCCCACCGGAAAAACATCGCCCGAGAGGGACCACCTGCAAGGCCCTCCCCCCCCTTTTCCGCCTCCAATTTCGGAAAGCCGCGCGACTCCCGAGCTTCACGAGGGTGGACCCCGTCTCCTCGTTGGACAGCCACAGCTCAATCTGACAAGCAGTCCAGCACTAGCAGCCGATAGCACACGCGTCCAGCAGCGACTATGGCAGTCCTGCAGGCCCGTCAAATCATCCAGACACCACAGCAGCGCCGTTTCGAAACGTGGCCATGGACGGGGCGCCAATCAACCTCGAGCAAGACCCTCCAAAGGGGATCTGGAGCCGGACGAAAAGGAGGAGGGATTGTTGATCATGGCCAGGGAACAATGCTTGCATCTGCTGCTTTGACGGCCAGGGCCAAAAAGAACGAGGGGCTCTCTCTCGGTGTCAGTCTGGGGGAGTTGTCAAGCCTCCTCACTGGCAGAATCAAAACCAGAATCGCAGCCATTGGCACCCTCGCTTTCTCTCCTCTCCTACACCCTACTCGTACAAATCGCCTCCTCGAGCCTGTCAACCGCCAAGCTGTCTACATGCCGTTCTTCCCATAGGCTCACCCACCTGCTGCCAAGCCCATTACTTGCAGCTGTGGCATCCCGGCTGCCGTGGCTCCGTCTCAGCTAGCGCCGGTACTTGCTCGACTCTGACAGCAACTGCGACGGTGACGTCGACTTGATCTCCAGCATGCTGCCGTCCGTCTTCCTTTCGCTCGGCGCAGCCCTGCTGGCTGCCGCCGGGGCCCGCGCCGACAACATCCACGAGGACTACACGGCCTACAACGACGCCCAGTTCGGCATCTTCCCCAACAATGAATACAAGTCGCTCAACGCCCGCACGCCCCAGCTGCAGGTCAATATCTGGAACAAGACGGCCATGTCCAAGTCGGGCTCGCACATCTTCTTGCGCCACGACGGCCACAACTCGGGCGTCGCCAGCCCTCCGCGCGACTCGGGTCCGTTGATCCTCGACACAAACGACCTCAGCGCCGTCTACATCAACCGCTCCTTTGACGCCTGCTTCAATGTCCGCGTGCAAGAGGACCGCGGCTCGCAGTATCTCACCTTTTATGGCGGGCCCATGAGCGGCATTGGCCTGGGCGACGGCTATGCCCATGCCTATGACCAGACGTATCGCGAGATCTACAATGTCGCGGCGCAGAACCTGCGGGTCAAGGCTGATATCCACGAGTTTGAGATGACGGATCATGGTACTGCGCTCATCACCGCCTATGAGCTCGTCGCGTGGGATCTGACGCCGTACATCGGTGTATCGAGGGGAGGCGCCACCTTCATCAAGGACAGCATATTCCAGGAGATCAACATGGACACCAACGAAGTGCTGTTTCAGTGGCGCGCCTCGGATCACATCAACATGGAGGATTCGTTCCAGCCTCCAGGAGATGGCAGGTCAGGGTAAGTCATCCTTTTTTTAGGGGGAGGGGAGTGGTAGTTTTCCACATCACAGACCAATCCCGCAAACGTCAGCTAACCCATACAACAAACAGCTGGGACTTTTTCCACATCAACAGCTTGCAAAAGAGCAAAGACGGCAACTACCTCATCTCAGCGCGCCACATGCACTCCATCTACCTCATCGACGGCAAAACCGGCAGCGTTATCTGGACTCTCGGCGGCAAAGCCAACAATTTCGTTGAGCTCCCCTACCCACCAGGCAAAGCCTTTGCCGCGCCCTTACTCTCCATGTCCTGGCAGCATCACGCCGTCTTCTATCCCGGCAGTGACGAAAAAGAAATCACAATCTTTGACAACCACGTCATCGACGGCGACCTCCCACGAACAGGCTACTCCAACTGTGTGCCGGGCCTTTGCTCGCGCGGAATCCACCTCCGTATTGACACGGCCAACGGCAACCACGTCGCACAACTCTTACAAGAATACTACCACCCGTCTGGCCTCGCCAGCGTCAGCCAAGGGAGCGTGCAGGTTCTCGACAACGGCAATGTCTTCATTGGCTGGGGCCGCAACCCATCCTTCACCGAGCACACCCCCGACGGCACGTGCGTGTTCGACGTGCAATTCAGCCCCTGGCGGAAATACCCCGAGCGCGACCAAGGGCTCGACAACTACCGCGCCTTCAAGCTCGACTGGGTCGGCATGCCGTACTGGAAACCGGACATTGCGGCGCGGCGAAGCACGGAGCACGGCGACGTCGATGTGTGGGTGAGCTGGAACGGCGCGACCGAGGTAGACCAGTGGGCGCTGCTGGCGAGTGATTCGCCAAACGACCTCGACAGCGGAGCCAAGACGGTGGCGTTCTCGCAGCGCACGGGGTTCGAGACGCAGTTTTGGTTGCCTTTTGCGCTCGAGAATGCCACGCATGTGCGTGCCGCGGCGCTGAACGCTGTTGGAGATATTTTGGGCTTTACGGGCGTTGTTGCGCTTGATTCTGGAACGGTAATTGCTGCTGACTACCCTGTGACGTCGGTGGTGGTGCCTGAGCCCGAGCCCGAGCCTGAGGAAGAGGAGCTTGAAGAGGGCGTGGCTGTAGATGGTGAAGGCGAGGTTATGGACGGCGAGAGCATGTCGTCCGATACATCAGTTCTTGCGTACGATGAGGCGGACACGACGAGTTCATGGACGAGCATTATTTTGAGGTTAACTGGTTTCTTGATCGGTGTTTGGGTATTGAAAAGACTATTTTAATGCATTGGGGGTTTGATGCTTTTGGATTGGACTTTGCTGGTGTTTTGGTGTTGACAGGCCACTTTTTTTTTTTTTTTTTTTTTTTGGGTGGTGGTGGAAAGGGGCAGGGCGGGTTCACCTTCCTTGGGTGAGAATTTTGAATGATACCATGTGGAATTTGTTTTATGTATCCATTGTCGTGGCCAGACCTGGTGATGTGGTCTAGTGTACATAAAATCATAGATGAGCAGAATTTATGTGAACAATTGTTAAAGTATATTATTGTAACCTACCAACCACAATGAACGCTCTCAGACAATCATCACCAATTTAATCCTGCAAATATTAGCGTCTCGATTGTGAATAGATCAGTGAGAAGATTCAAGAGACGTGTATAGCGTGTTAATGAGAAAAGTGATGGATTTTCAGACAACATCATATGGCAGACATATATTGGTGATCGTTTTGGATTGTGTTTGAAACCGACACTTCGATGCAAAGATTCATTTGAAACTCATCAATGTCTATCTTCTCTCTCCTCACCTTCTCACCCGCCAAAAAGCCATGTTCCATTTAACCAAATCCCAATTCTGCCTGGTATCTTGAATGTGTTAGGTATACTTGGAGATACTTATGTATCCACCACCACCCGTAACATCATCATCGCAGTCACGGATGGTTACACAAATCCAAGAACTACTCAAGCCGCTCCCAAGGGAAAGACTGTGTTCCGAGAATCAATGCAAATGAGTATATAATACTTTGCACGACTCGTGCATTCAACAAGGAAGTCACAAGAATGACATCTAGCCTCTATGGCGTAGTGGTAGCGCGTCGCACTTGTAATGCGAAGGTCTCTCGTTCGATCCGGGATGGAGGCAATTTCTTTTGACGTTTTTGAGGCTTACATTTTTTCCCCTGTTTTTTTCTTTGTCTCTTACTGTTTCTCTTTTGCAAGGCGGGGTCCAACATATTGGTCACAGGCCGGTTGGCAGACCGTGCATGGGTCTGTGTTATGTTCCATGTTGGCATGCTGGGAAAGTCTGGGCACTGGAGTGTGTTCAAATTCATGTGACCCAATAATTAACATTTTATAAGCAAGTTGCATTTCCCAAGTCCAATATGATACATCTTTGAATCGTAAATTGATCATGACAATGTACACGCTAATATGATATTTACATCATCAATGTATGAGATTCGTGAAAGCACCATTCTATCTCTAGATCTGACAACCATCAAAAAACACCTTCTACTATGATCGATCAACCACCAAGGATGGGATCGTTGAGAACAACCACAAAAAACAACATGCATAAATGGCAGACAAATCAACAACTCCCATCTAGACTGTCTACACAGCCTTCCACGTCGGCACGACCTTTTTCAAAAAGTTCATAAACTTGAACAAGCCAACTGCGTACTCGACGTTGCCCTCGGGGTCAACAACCCTTTCCGGGAACGCAATTCCAGCGCCATACAGCCCGGGTATTCTCTCTCCAGTCTCCTTATCGTCAAACGCACCAGTGGAATGGTCAAACCTCGGCGTGACGGTGCGGCCGTCGACGCGCAGCACAGGCAGCGGCTCTGTCTTGTACCCAATTGCCTGGCAGACATGCGTGCAATCGGCCAGCTCGCGGGCGTACGTCTCGGACTCGTCGGCGTGCGTCGTTTGGACTTTGGTCAGGTGGCGTGACACAGGCGAGTTGGCGAGCACGGCGGGCTCAAGGTTCTCGCGCGCCCAGACGGCGACTTCGCCCTTGAGACCGGTGTTGTCGCGAAGGATCCAGCCGTCGCGCTCTTCGGCGTAGCGGAGAGGGTGGCGGGTGAACCACTTGATGCGGAGTTGCGGGTGCGAGGAGGCGGCGAGGTTGAAGAGGTTGCGGAGGACGAGGATGGCGGAGTGGGAGGCACCAATGACGGCGATGTGGGCGGGTGCATCAGCGGGAAGGAGCTGGGTGAGACGAGTGGGTGAGAGCGCCGTGTCGAGGTGGATGGAGCTTAGGTGGTCGACGGGGAGGGGCCCGCTGATGGGAGTGGAGCCTGTGCAGAGGATGAGGCGGCTGGCGTCGACTTGAGAGGCTTGGGAAGAGGAGTCCGTCGGAGAGATCGAGACGGTCCAGGTGGACTGCAGATGGGTTAGTATTGAATACTATTGTAGTGAATGAAGACAATGATGACGAGGACGGGGACGAGGACGATGATGATGCAAAAGAAGCAAACTGACATTTGACCATGAAGCATCCGTCACTCTACCGGTGTGCTTAAAGACGTCCTTGCTCTCGTCAAGCCCTTCGGTCAACATCAAGCACATGTCGGCTGCCTGGGCAATGTGACATGTCTTTTCCTGGGGCAAGTCAAGCAGATGACTTATGGCGTTTGGTGTGGGCGTCTCTTTGGCGACCGACTTGAAGGCATTCACACCCTCGGCATACTTGGTGAAGAACTTGACCTTTGTGTTCCTAGAAAGAGTCTTGTTAGAAGTTTGTGCGCACGATTGACAATGATAGTTCATTGAGGAAGCGATCGGCACTCACGATGGAACCTCACGATAGTACTTGTTGAGACGACCGCCGGCAAACTCATCGTCAACCCACAGAATGGGCTTCCGTTGCTGGTCTAGCAGGTTTCCCACGACACCAATACCGCCGGCTCCCGCTCCGACGACGACAGCTTCATATCTGCGGTCGCTCGAGTACAAGCGCGTCCAGCCTTGCAGACCGTGGAACTGCCGTGGTGGTGTGATGGTACCCATGTTGGCGGTGGTGAGTGTATTGCGTTGCTGACGGCGAGTAGTTGCAACAAGCTGGCGGTGGAGATGGCCGGGGTGATAATGGAGCTGTCTGGCTGATGCTGGTATGGCAGATAAGGCTGACGGCGTGGCTGTTGTGTATCCAAGCTGGTGATGGTCCGTAGTAGTAGTGTAGCCTCGAAGACGTCCTAGTCGAGTCGCATGAAGCGAGGCCCTAGCGGGCGTGGCAGCCATGGTCAAGGGCATGATGGGCCGGTACTTATCGTCTTTTCCCTTTCCCTTTCCTTCGGCTTGAGCTGGGTTGTGGTTGCTGCAGGGCAGGGCAGGGCAGCAGCGGAGAGAGAAAAGGACGGTATGTACCTATCTGGAACGAATTGGATCGACCGCGTGTCACTGTGCACTGTTATCGCGCACACACCCCACACACGTGCCGGTTGCTGCACCTCCTGCTCGGCCTGGCCCAGGGCTGGAGTGGGCTGAGATGCCCCTTCACGTCCCGCTTTGGGCCGGATACGGGGAATATGGATCTCGTTCTTCCTCGTCTCGGTACCTCGCTCTGGACTCTTCTCCGTCCTCTCTTCCTGTTGGTCCCCGAACACGCACAACGGCACTCGACTCCGTCTCGTTGGCTGAGAGGAAGACAGAGAGAGACAGGCAAGAAATCAGATTGGACGACTTGTGGCGTGGACGTGGCGCGGTCAGCCGGGGCCTTCCCCGTGCCGGTGTCACAAAGCGGCTCTAGACCGCCAGGGCCAGAATCAGTCCTTTCTTTCCTGGTCTTTTCTTCTCTTTTCAGGGGCGTGAAATGCAGCAAATGGCAGATGGACACCTCCGGACGTGATTTGATAGTCGGCTCCCGATGCCGATGTCGATGAGCACAGGCCCCGGTCCCGGGTGCTGCAGCTGGTCAAAGGAGTCCGGTAGTAGCCCGTTGAAGAAACTGCAGAACAAGCAAAGTGCAAAGTGCAAAACCAGGGGTCAGGGTCGTCTTTTTGGGTAGCAGAGCTGCCAACACGCAAGACGGGCAGCAAATGTCGCGATGCGGTAAATCGCCCAGTTTGCAGGGCCCAAGTCACGTGGCGATAAGTGCCAAGTGCAATCGGAAAAGTGTGGGGCTCTCAGGGGCGAGAAAAGGAAGGAAGGAAGCTATGGGAAGAGCCAGCGCAAAGCAAAGCAGCAGGCACGGAAGGGTCGCCGGGCCCCCGACGGTTGGTCGCCGACATTTTCTCCGGGGAGTGGGCTGCAGGGCCCGGAGTTGGGAGCATGTGGCCCACGGGGTTGTTGCAGCTTGTATGGTGTGGCTGCCGTATGTGGGCATCCATGCATCGCCGTCCTATCACGAAGCAAATTGTTACCCAACTCTTGACACATCTCGAGGCCAGCTGACCGCCCTGCGCTCACGCCTGTCCTACCACAATCATATACGAGGTTGGTGATATACTAAGTAGGTACTCATGCAAAGCACTTCTTGTCAGGCAGGCTCATAGGCTCATCAAGGACAGGACCTGGATATGGCTGAGCATGGCGTCCTCCGCGCTGCGTTGCGCACTTGTCTTTTCTTCTCGAAGCATCGACAACGTGCCAGATAAGCATCCTGGTACATTGATAGCCCTCGATACTTTTTGCTTTCGCTTTTACTTCTGCTTTGCCTGTCAAGCTTCCTCCTTCTCCCGGGGGTTGCCATGCGTCATGCGTGTCACGCTGCATCTTCCCGCCCCCCTGGACCAGGCCGAAGAAAGCCATCCGGCCGACACCTTGTTTGACTTATGCCATCGCTAGCCATCAAGCAATGATTCATCTAGATGCAACGAACGAGTGCTGCTGCTGCTGCTGCTGGCGGCGCCATCAACCTGCCTCGGCGCATTCAGATAACGTTCCATGCCATCGCAAAAGGCCAGCTTCGGCTGTAAATTCGTCTTGCATGATAGGCACATCCCACAAGCCCAGGCTTGCAAACCGAGATGGTGTCTATCGCGATATGCTATCTACAGTAACCAAGTACTAAAGAGGAACTAAGTATTGGCTCGTCTAATGCCACGATTCAGCTAAGCCACGAGAAGGACCTACACCAATTGATAGCAAGCTAGCCATCCCTGACGATTAGTGCATAGCCAAACAGCAAGTCCAGTAGTCTCGAGATTGATCAGCTGGTGTTTCATACAGAGGCGGGGTTAACTGCGGTTTTTGGCTGTTCGCATTTAGAGGTCTGGCCTTGATTCAACGCTATGCTTCACGCTTGTCGCCTTGTAATGAATGCCTGCAGAAGACTTGAGCGAGTGGACTCGATAGAGTGGTTGTATCACGTAAGATGCATGCTCATTGGGAAAATAAACACCACGTCTACACCTACTTGAGTATCTTCAATGATCGGGTCTCACTGACTAGGCTGTGTGGTTACACTGACGATATGTCATTTGTTTCTTCCCAAAACGCGCCATCATCTTCTAAAATAGGGCTGGAAGCTGATATTTGGTACAAAGACATTATTTGCAATCCTCCCCGCAATATGGAGCCAGTGAGAACCTTATTTTATCGTGAATTATTTTTATTTCATATATGTACCGGCCGGTTCCGCTAGCAACACTCGTGTAACCACAGCTCTTGTGATACTACAAGCCTTCTACTGCTTTGCAACCTGAACCTCTCTGATCATATACATTCTCATCCCAAAGCACACCTCGACTGCTCATCATCTTTAGGCATCCGCAATCTTGACGACAGCCTTGCCAAAGTTCTTGCCCTCGAAAAGACCGATCAAGCCTTCAGCAGCATTGTCAATGCCCTCGGTGACGGCCAGCTTGGCCTTGAAGCTGCCGTCGTGCAGCCACTGCTGCAGCTTCTTCTGGTGGTCCTCGGCGTAGTCGGGTCCGAAACCCTCGTCGCCGACAATAAAGCCCTGGAAGAGAATCCGCTTGCCTACGATAGACATCAGGTTCTTGACGCCATAAGACTCGGAGCGGTCCTTGACGTTGTACTGCGAGATCTGTTCGCGCAAAGGTGTTAATATATATACATATTTCGGGGGAGGGGGAGTGGTTTGAATCAAAACAAAAACAAAGTTCAGTTGAGCACTTACCATGCCACATGCAACAATACGGCCGTGGTCGTTCATGGCGTCAATGGCAGCCT